TTAAATCAAAACGAATAGTAAGCACCGTTATTCTTCACATTGCTGTACACTAAAACCAATCATCCATCCATCCACTTTCTTACCAGTGCAAGGCAGTATATACCCTGGGCAGGATAACCAAAGTCTCTGGCCAAAATCACATATTAACTGGACGAGCACTGCATAAAAAACATGTAATATATTCAAGTGAAGCACACTGATAATAAGTGTAAAGTGTAGGATCTGTGCATAATTCACAAAATCTGCTTGCATGAACTGCCGTTGCTGCAGGTGTGTCAAAGAATCAATTCACATCTGAGATACCAGACAGAAAAATCTGTTTCATTTCAAGAGGAAAAGATAAGCATACATACCTTTATCAAATGTAACAAAAGGTACCTACAATATCTGCAACCTAAAAAAAATATTTTCTTGTAAAATACAGTACCAAGATCAGAATGAAAATACATCTCAATGGTATGATGAATTTGATTTGCTTTTTTTCCTTATTTTGTACTTTATCCTTAAATCATTAAATCAGTGCGCATTAAATCGATGCATATATTGTTACAAATTAAGGTTTAATTGTCCTCACCTGATACAATTCCAATCTAAAATAATACATGATTAACATGTGGTTATTCTCCCTTTAACACACTGTATTTTTCTTAATAAAAAAGGCTCAGTGCATTCACTGTAAGCAATGAGATTGGATTTCCTTTTGGATTTAATTTTACAGGGTCATTCTAATGATGCAGCGAGTCAATCTGACAATAGTGAAAGGTAGTACTAACAAGTGTGGGTGTGAGATAAAGAACCCCTGCTGCCTGCCAATCGAAAGAATTGAGGCGGAAGCCTTTAAGAAAAATCATCAGGCCATGAAATGCCAAACCTTTTTGTAATAACAGGAGATCTAGTGAAATTGTATTGGTTGGGAAAAAAAATCCCAACCCAAGATGAATCAGGTTGATTCAGGTTTGCTATCCTAAAGGACTAATGAAAGGTCAGACAGCATTAAGGATAGGTAGGATAATGCACTTGCACAGTAAACTTGTGTATATATATACAAAATGTATATTAATAGTGATATACTCAACATGTTTATATAAACCAGCCTGAAACATTGACTTTTAAAAGCGATTTTCAAAGAAAAATAAACTTTCAAGTATAGGACATCTGGCAGGCACTGCCTTAACAATAAACATTGACAGCTGACAGTTGACAGTTTTGTTTGGCTAAAACATAATTCACAACTACTCTGCGTCACAGCCGCACAAGGTAAACACTTCCAGAGACTCTTCATTGATTTAAGAATACGTTTTAAATAAATAGTTTTGTTGCAAACTAGTTTGTAACAAGGACATCACTGAGGATTCAAGAAGAAGAATATATACTGTATATACAAGCTAAGCACAAAGCTACATGAAGGAATTTGTGCCTTCCTTCATAACCCAATTATTTATTAAGAAAATGGAAGCCCACAACCTGTAGTATGTTTTCACAATTATTTAATTTATATCTCTGCTATAGTTCATCCTAATTAGCTTTAAGAGAACAACAATAATCAATTACATGTCAATGTAGGGCCTAGAGTTTATGTTACCTTAAAGCTGTAAGTTTTTTTTTTCAAAATTCTAATGTTTTGAGCCTCTGATATTTTCTCTACACTGGGTGCCTTTATCTGGATTGCTTTGCAGAATCTCAGTTTCATATTTCTTGCCTACGATTGGCTCTTAAAAAAGTCAAAAGGTTTTTCAAAGCTTGTAGAACATCTTCTGCATATAGGATATGTTTCAAAAGAGTGTTGACATGCTCAGCAGTTAATTTCAAGAGCAAGCTCCCGGATTAAAATATAATTATGCTTTACTACTGAAAGGGCACAGAGTTAGAGGTGAAAATTTACAAGTTTGATTAGAACATTGCACATGCCAGTCATCAATTACCATATTTTTCCCCTTAATTTATTGTTCTCCGAGTGCAAAAATAAATTCATTTGAAGAAGTTAAGTTATGGAGCTGCGAAGGAAAAAATAAAGGTTAATTCCACAGCGAGAAGCAAAAATAACAATACGTTCCAATTGTGGAGCCTTCTTCAAGTGTGTGTATTAATTAATAATTATTTCTAAATTTAGCTGAAAGAAAATTGTCCTCCCCTTAGAAATGATAGTGGCATTCAGAAACGATCTGCACAAAATACTAATGAACCTTCCAGTGGCACTGCAAGCCATATGACAATTCCATAGTTAAAAAATATTTTTTCTTGAATCTATAGAGGGGACTCGTAAGAGCTTTTTGTTGATTTATAAAGGAACAATCCATAGAAAATAGCATTACCAGACTCTAATGAACATGACTGAGCTGATATCGACATACTAAAATAGCAATAAACCACTCTGCCATGACTACGATGGCAGTCACTCTTAATTGCTGGATTTTTACATACAAAAATCATTGTCATAATGTATCGAAAGTTATATATTTTCTTTATGTCTTAGATGCAGGTCAGTACACTGTCTTTAAATGCATGTCATACAAATTTTCAACGGGCGTTCAAATTGAAAGATGTCGCAATCACAGTTACGTCTGGAAACTGTGGTCAACGTCTAATGTGTTTATTGTGTGGAACAGGAAAGGATGACTGAACGAATCAACTTCAAGGGAAGTGATTTGACATTACCCCACTGTGGAAGGCTTTCAGTGTGGGAGGCAGGCACTTCACAGGAACTGATTATAAGCCCCATTAAGGTGGAAAATGATAAATAGGGAAGTGAGCTGCAAAATTCATGAATCCCTGACTGAAAGTAAGCTTACCAACAGGCTCTTCAGTCATGTGCAACCAAACTGCCTGTAGCCTATAGCTCATATTAGTAACTCATCTGTGACGAATGGAACACTCTATGGTTGCAGCATTTTAATTTTAATAATCAGCTGAGAAGAACTACAATACACATACACATAAAAAATAAAGTGAATCCAGTGGTGTTTTTTTAAATGGTGTAATGAATGGGATTTTTTACATATTGTTGACATAATTATACATATTATAACTATGAATGTATCTGGTTGCAAAGACATTTCGACATGAAAGGTTTTGTTATCCGATGTCAGTTGCTTGCAGCTGGTTTATGACAGAAAAGCATTTTTATGATACTTTCCAATGACAAAACTATGATTACAACAGTGATCGCCATGTGTGTCTTCTTATGCACCACATTATCTCCGAAGCCAATAAAAACGACAGAACTGCAACAATCACTTTCAAATACTTAATATTTAAGCATGAAGAAAACAGTGAAAACATTAAGAAGTCAGATGTGCAGTATGTGTACCCACTTCTGCCTTAGCTAACCATAGGTTTGGATGCACATTACTGCTGTATAGTATCTCTAATTCACACTAGACTGTAGGCCAGTTCTGTGCACTAAAATTCCTTTTAGAGATCATGCCCAATTGCCCAGCAAGGGGATTAAGCCTTTCCAAAATCCAACTGCACATCTTGCTGTGCTTATTCTTTATGTTACATGGCTTTAACAACCACTAGTTAAGTTAAGACTGATGGATTTTACTGTGTGGTCAGCAGGTAATTGAAGTGTGATTTACTACACAGATAACAACACAGCTTTTTTGTTATCTCCAGTTCTGTTATCGGCAAGGTATTGCACTTCCTTGTGGCAGCCAATTGCACTCTGTGGACAAGCTGTATTTCAGGGTTAAGTCAATCAGGGCCCCAGCTCAAGCTAGGGTTGCCTTGGTTATGACAGGTTAGTTCTTCTGAAGATCTTTTCTGATAATCATAATGTATTCACCCTATTTTATTCACCTTATAATTTAACCTTGTCATACAGTAGGGTATTGTATACAACAAGTAAAAGGCAAGCTTACTAGGAAATACCTAGCCTTGAATGATTTAAATGGGACAATATAGAGAGAATCTCTTGTATTTTGAAAAAAAAACACAAATGCATCAATTAATGTTTCCATCTAATTTCTGACAAACGTTCTCACATGTTCTTCTGAAACTGAGAGCAGTATAGTCCTATATAGTCCTAAAGACTGAAGACATTTCATAGGTTTTGTACTTTGTTCCATTTTTCAGGTGGATTTTGTGCATTGTCAGATTACGAAACTTGAGTAATTATCAAATACCATAATAAAATTATTTTCTTATCAGAAATGTCAATATATAGTAAAATGAAAGCAACATTTGTTCAATTTTATGTAGTGATATGGAAGGTTAAGGAGTCAATTTCCAAACCATAAAGGTCATTGTATGCTCTGCTTTGTGTTTGATTCTGTCTTTCTTTGATCTAGAAATAGAGCCAAGCTGTTTAAAAAACTTAAGAACACGAGGAACGCTTAGGAATGTGGCTAGCTTATCTATCCAGTTACTCAAAGCTTGAAGGTGGTGGCTACTCTTTATTTCAACATTCATAAACATTACAGTAAAACTACAATGAGTTCTGATAACAACATTATCTTATTAGAGAACAACACCAGCTATACTGTATATTCTGCATGACAATCAAATGTAGACAATGAAGGTGCACTTTAATCTTCTTCTTCATTATAAACCATTGTACAAAAATGTAATACTGAAATATGGAGCCATATTTAGTATTGAAAATATTTGTGATACAGCCCTTTTCATATATATACATAAATACTTGCAGTATGTATCCATATAAATACATAAACACTACAACTTAATTTGTGGTTTTACAATGTGGGTTAGAAATAACATTTGGGTGACTTATGGACAGTAAATTACTGCCTGCACTGCAAATGTGTTTTCAATGTGTTTTCAATGCTACACAAGCAAAGTATTTAAAGCATCCCAAGGGGTCTGAAGGCTTTCAAAATTTATGATCAGAAAAAGTGTGTTTTGACATGTCATTTTAGTGTTTAAATTCAATTCAGGCTTTTGAATCTTTGAATCACAAGAAATAATGTACCGAAACAATGCATAATCATTTGCCATTTACCACTTTGTAACACTTGTTTTCAACACAGTGAGGTACTTACTGATGTGTACAGATAGCCTTCACCATTCATGGCTATGTATAACCCTGTCTTCACGGCCTGAATAGCAACAACTCTGAGACCCACTGGTATGAGGTTGAACAAAGCTGGAAAAGAAAAAGTATCAGTCAAAATAAGGGCAATAAAATGTACAGTATAAATCTCAGCACAGTTATTCAATTTTCAAACTGAAAATTCCCCCCACCTTCTCCGTTTATTTTTGTTTAGCATTAATATCAGCCACCAGGTCTGTGCAGAACTGTGTAGAATTGTAATATTAGTGGAATGTGATTACTGCAACATGGCAGAATTAATAGCACTTTTGTTTGAAAGCATTCCATTGCATTCCCAAATATTCAGAAATAAACTATGGTTTGTTGTTGTGAGGAATGACAATCTGGGCAGCAACAGAAAATACATAAGCACCGATGATTAAAATGTATCAGTATAATGAACTCTACAACAGTTAAATACCATTCCACCCAATTAGCTGACACCCTCTTATCTGCACCAACCTTGGGAAAGACACAATCTAGCTTTCATTCGCACTCACTGACTTCAAAGCAAATTTAATGATGCTGATGGAGATTTTTTCGGCTGGAGCACAAAACAACCCCAATCAGATACCTATATCATTAAAAGGGACAATCGCCTTTTAAAATTCAATATTGTGTATTATTTCAAAACCACATTCCTGGACGGTGTGATAAGGTCCCGTATTTCAGAAAGGTCTTCAAAGGTGTTGACAAACCCCGAATAGATAGAGAAACCAGAGGACACAGGTGGAAACTATGTGGAAATGTATTTAAAAGTGAGAACAAAAGGCATTTCTTTACCCTAAGGTTTGTGGGAGTATGGAAAAAGCTGCCCCGCCTTATTGTTGAAGCCAGTAACTTGAGTGCTTTCAACAAAATTAGATCTATATAATTAATCAGCTGCTACTGTACCTACCTAGTGGGTTGGATAGGCTGAATGGCCTCCTCCTATTTACATTTGTTCTTAAATTCCTGTTACCATTATGCATTTTAACATACTTCAGTTTGAACCATCAATTACTCCTTTTCCAGAACACTGATGATATGATGATATGTAAGACCGTGGTAATACAGAACAAAAGAACTAATACAGGAACAAACAAAAAAGAGACTTACACTTACAGTCTTTCCTCAATACATTTTACAGTTTACATTCAGATAGTCCGACCAAGCAGTGAAATTATGTAGTGAAGTCAAAAAAGGGTGCTTGTGTCTGATTTATTTTATATTTTAATATATACATGTATTTCTTGTTATTTTATACTAAAAGCTTACTACATAAAAAGTAAAATGACATGTCATTTCTCCTGTGTGTTTTTCCGTTGAGACTACAGAACTATACTAAGTGACTTTATACACATGTTAAATCAAATTAAAAAGCATGCCTGCAGCATTTTAAAAGAAGTACCAGCACAGGCTAATAATATGATATATCCACTCCACACCAGTATAGAAATTTAAGACTTCACAAAGGATTTTGGTGAACTTCTGTTTATCCCACTAAAGTAAGGTTAAGCAAATATAGAGCCTAGCCCATCTCCTATACCCATAACACATCTTAGTGTATTACTGTTAAAAACAAATGCCATTTGCAAGCAACAAATTAGATTTACTTATAAAAATCCACATTAAGATAGCACGATGTAATGCTTTTTGGGTTATTTCTGGAACTTGTCCAAATCTACACCATGCAGCTGTTTGACTTTCTAATGGATCCTTTTAAAATTCAATTACTTTAAATGTTTAATGAACTTCTTAAAATTAATGGAACTGGAATAATTAAGTCCATGTAAGCTACAACTGTGTCTTTGACGTTTAAATATTCCACTAGACTTTGGCTGTTATAGGTAGAGTACAACCTGTACATTTAACCACGGGTTATGGTAGTCTCATCTGTGTTGAGTCAAAAGGCAAGGGAAAGGAATATTCAGAATTTTCGTAATGTGAGAAATGCAATAAAAACAGAGCCAGAACATCTGAATAAAAGTGGCTAAAGTGATAAAATGACATGTCCATCGGGGCTGTTCATGTGAGGTCCTCCTACTTCACACATTTTGAGCACCTTCTTTCCTTTTGCTCTTCAGCTATTAGTTTACTTTTATTAATTTTAGGCTGTCAGAATTAGTATTTAATAGAGAAAAATAAATATAGAACCTTCGAGAATGGCTGATGTGTATTTTCATTCTGAACAGAAATGGACATTTTCAGATAAAAAAAAATACTGTTGTTGATTTTGTTGATATAAATTCATTTCAGTTATTTCATTTACTGTATGTATTTATCTGTCCAGCAGAAGCCCTTATCACAATGGCTCTGTGGCTAAGGATCTACACCTGTGGCTGGAAGGTTGCTGGTTCGTATCCAACAGCTGGCAGAGGAATCCTACTCTGTTGGCCCCCTGAGCAAGGCCCTTAACCCCAACTGTTTCAGGGGCGCTGTATAAATGCCCCAAAGCTTCTCCCCCTGTCTGTGTGTCTCATGGAGAGCAAGTTGGGGTATGTGAAAAGATAAATCATAATACAAGAAATTGTATATGGCCAATAAAAAAATCTTATCTAATCTAGAGTGACTTACATTATAAAACCTTTAGATTTACATTCAATTATAAGACTGTCACACATTCATTCATTTTCTCCCCTGCTTAATCAAATACAGGCACAAAGGAAGACAGGCAAAGTCAGTGCCTATCTGGGCAAGCTACAGGTGCATATGAGAATACACCCTGGACTAGGATGCCAGGAAACACTCACACCAGGGACAGTTTTCCCACATGCCAATTAACCCAGCAGTACATCTTTGGACTGTGGGAGGAAACTGGAACACCTGGAGGAAACTTAAGTGAACACAGGGAGAACATACAAACTCCACACAGATAGCAACCCCAGTTGGGAATTGAACCCAGATCCCCAACTACAAGGCAGTAATGCTAACCATTGTGCCAATGTGCTGCCCCATACAAGTCTAATCATGTAAACATTAATGACAAACAAACAAACCTTTACCCCTTTGGATGTCATATGCAACACAAGCAAATGTGACTCACAAGAATTACTGCTGTCATCCTTGGTCCCATCAAGAGATCCATCTGGGTGCATCTGCAAGTAGTATCCCTGCCTGCAATATAACCTGGTCACTATACCCTTGAGCTGGGGATCTGGAAAATAAAAATGGAAAAAATGAAATTAAACTCGAGAAACCAGAGGAACAAGAGGAAATCCCTGTAGAAAACAGACAAGCATGTAACCATTCAGGAAGGTAATAAATAATACTGACACAGATATAAGAGGATCCTGCTCAACCTTGGTCTCTCCCTCAGACACCTCTTATTTCCGAAATGTTAGAATTAGATATCCTGATACATTTGTGCTGTGTGGCTCAAAGAGCTTCCTCTTGTTTGCCACCCCTAACAAAAAACTTGTTCGTCACTCTTCTGTGAACACATTGAGAATGAAATTATATTTTTGCTTACATTAGTCATCATACAGTATATACTATATTATATTATATTATATTTTTGATTTCAGAATAATTAAAAGATACATATAATGAAATGAATGAATACAAACAAATCTCACAGAAGTAACTCTGTACCTTATTGATCATGAAAAATATTACATTTGGTTGAAACTGCTTAACGTATGCTATACAGAATTTCCTGTGTCCTAACTAGCTTTAGTGCACCTTTATGGTTTAAACAAGGACAGGGAAAAACGTTTGCTTTCTCATGTTTTGCTTACTACAATTGCATACAGTAGCTAATTATCACGCTGATCTACAGTATCTTTATTGCAGGACCTCAACAGCACCCTCTGTTGGGTATTTTATGTGAGTATGCATTAGAGCTTGGGCAATGTACAGTAACTATGATCAAACGGGTTCAAGGACTTGAAAGTTCCATATTTGACCCACTAAGCCATATGAACCTAATAAGAAATAATAAGAAAACTATATTTCTTTAGTTACTACCTTCGATGAAAATCACAATTCAAATGAAAAGTATTTCAATTGTGCATAAGTGCGGTTTCGTACAATTACTCAAGAGAGTATTGTCATATTTAGACACAAACAGATCTAACGGATTTAAACAAGTGTTCTTGTACAGCACAGTGTAGCTTCAATGCACAAAACATTATAATAATCCTTTCTAAATATACCATTTACATGTTAAAAAGTATAGATGGAAATATGGCTCAGATACTGAAATATCTGAAATTTTTAAAAATAGCTTTTGAAACAAATATATATTCTAATAGGATTACCCAAATCGTAAGCAAGTGTCACGAAATAAAAGATCATTGGTGGATACGATATTTTAGATTACAACCATTTACAGTAACCTATTTCAAAAAACAATATGTGAAGTATCTCTTCTTACCCTATAAAAATGTGGTATTCTAAATTTATATGCCAAATATCCAAATAACTTAATATTTAAGTCAATTAGCTGAATCTTGTAACAAGTCAGTCTCAATTTCAATATGATACGTTTCACATCTGTTTTCCTACACTGTATTTTACGCTCCAGTAGTTACAAAAAGAAAGGTCTTATTTTTAATATTCTTATTTATTTTAGTGAATATAGTCAAGCCCTTTTAACAGTTCTTTGTAATTCAGGTTATTGTGCAACCATGCTACAAAAAACCTCTGTAGAAAGTGTGTCACGCTCGTTCGTAATCAAAAGAATATTTATCTGCCAGAACAAATGTAATTCAAATGCCTTTGAAGTGGTATTATGGGATAACAAACATACAAGGCATCTTTTCTACTGCGACTGCATGAGTGCTGTCATTCCATCATGTGCTATCACCTGAAAATCCACAGAACACTGTGTGCCATTAGGTATATATTAAAGACCCCAAAATAAAATTGGTGGATATGAAAGAAATCCTCATCTTTTGTATAGCTTCCAGCTTAGTCAAAGACACTCCTTTTTTAATTAAAACAGATCCAGAAGAGGTTTCAATTAAATTCAACTTCCCCCAATAACTTGTTTACACACTGGGTTTCACACAGGGTGGGATGAACTGCTGTAAATAAAACCATCACGCAAGTAAAAGAAGTGTGCCGGGGACCGTGATAAATACGGCAATTTCAGAATGCTCCTGGGTACTTAAAGCAACAAATTCTCTCTAAAAAACAAGTCTGTGGACCTAACAAACATGTTTAGAACCCACGTATGTAACAGATAGTGTTCTCACAGGATACGGCTGTTATTTAAACAATTCAGGTTGCCTCAGATATGGAAAT